TAAAATGAAATTACGATATTTTCATTACCTACTATGTAGATGGGTTAAAACTTGTGACACTAATTGTAGGTAGATAATTTTGGGATTTCACAAAACGTATATTCATCAAATTATTCACTAATTTAATTTTCTAAAAAGTTACATGACGGTTTTTCGGAATAAACGGTCGTTTATACCTAGTTATTTAAATATAATATCAGATCTAGAGTTATTAAACTACAACAGATGTATTTACGGTTATAAACATATCTATGAAATATTTTTTGTGAATAATATTTTAAACAATGTAATTGCCTTGATTTGGTGGATTTTAAAAACTTTTTCAAACTAAAAAAAAAAAAAATAAAGTTTACATTTACTTAGTAAATTTCATTTAATTTTCTAGAAAAATTGTGATTTCTGTTAAATAATATTAGTTTTCACAAATTATTACTTATAAGTTTTCATCATTCTCCGTTGTTCTACGACTTTCTATAGTAGATTTTTTATTTTTTTTATTTCTCCGCTTTCCTACGGAGGATATATTATACATATCCTTAGCACTATTATTCGCGGAGATTCCTTTTCTACCTAAATAAGCATTTTCTCCATTTTTCAATTTTCAAATTATTTCAAAAGTTATATATTAATATTTTTTCGTAACTCCTAAGTTAACGAGAGATAGTTAATTACTTGAAATAAACAAAATTAAAGGAAGAAATATTGAACATTGGGTATTTTAGCCTTGTAAAGTGACATCAATGGGAATAAGACCTAACTGATATTAAAGAGCGCTTAATTATAATATGATAATTGTTATCTCCAGTTTTTAATTTTGAAGAAAACGACTATTACTTCTAACTTGCTTGACGCGATTGTAGTACAAGATGATAATATTCCACATGCTTACCTCTTTGTAAAAATCGATTTTCTATCTGACGTGTTTATCAACAGTTAGCTGAAGTGTTCCGGCTAAACTATAAATTTGGAATTTTTGGTGTGTATTGTGTTAATAATTAAAAATCATGATTACTGATTTTCAGTTGATGATTTTTGCCAATTTTCTTGGCGTATCCCTATTTCTCTTAGTGGTTTTATACCATTACATAGAAGCTAATTACATCAGAACATGATCATCTATGTAAGTACCATTAACTTCATTTCTGTTTAAATTTCATGAAAGATTTTTATTTTAGTGATATATTTGCTTTTAGGTAATTATTGAATTTTGAAATACCTTTCTTGAAGTCTTCATTGGAAACATATTAGAGCACCATTACCTGCTATGTAACTGAAGTTTCTGTCACAAAAGAAGACTTCATGATATTTTCTGTATTGTAAATAATGGAATAAAGTACTATTTGGTAAGACATTGTTTGCAATTTGACTATTGCTTTATTTCCCTTGATTTCCAAATTATAGAAAGTTATTTGAAAACTGGAAGGATGAATACTTATGTATCGACTCCTTTGTCTAGAAATCTTTCTGGTAAGCTGATATCTCAATATAAGCTGATTGCCTAGTAAACGAAATTTATCTTTGGCAGTCATACAGGATGGAAGAAATATATTAGTCTATCATTTTTTAACACTTATTGTTAATGTGTAATCATTTATTAGGTTATTATTAATGTACAAGTTTAAAGGGCCTGTTATTTCAAAGCAATGATAGAAAAAATTGGATGATAAATATTGAGGACACAGTCATTATACATTTTTTTATTTGTGCCGACGTTTCAACTTAAACATGTCAACAACAGGGCTGAAAATTTTAAAATACAACCAGAGATATAATCTTATACAACCGATAATTGTAAATAATAAACCATGAATTGATGGTACATGAATCTTAATTATTACAATACACAATGTTAAAAATGAAATATGTAAAAAGTTATACAAACTAAAAATAATGTATATAATCCATTTATAAAAATTTGTAATATATTTTTTTATAAATAGATTATATACATTATTTTTAGTTTGTATAACTTTTTATATATTTCATCTTTAATATTGTGTATTGTAATAATTAAGATTCATGTACCATCAATCACTATAGTTTATTATTTACCATTATCGGTCATATAATATTGTATCTCTGATTGTATTTTAAAATTATAAGCCCTGATGATGACCCACATGTTTGGGTTGAGACGTCGGCACAAATAGAATATTTTTATAACGACTGTTCTGAATATTTATCACCCATGATATGTAGAACAGTCGATTAGCTTCTAATTATGTATAAGTCGTAAATTCTTATCCTGAATCCTGAGCATTAAAAATGGATTTGAGGAAGAAATAACATAATAGTATGATACATTCATATTTTATGGCGTTTTAAAATGTATAAAACAAACATTTTTGTGGTTGCCTCATATTATTATTATTTTTTTCTGAAACTAACTTTAATGATTAATTAAGAATATGCAACTTTAAGAAGTTGATTATGGGGTGCAGTAAAGAAAAATACACAGATAAAGAGAAAAATATATTTTAATATGTGCTTGAGTTTTAAGCCTGCATTGGGGCTAATTAAATCAAGATTATAACCAGGTACGTATGAAGCCAAAAATTTTGCCAGCTGAGCTTCCACAAAAAATAAAATTTTGAGACACTGATTAATAATTGATTTCAGATTGCATTGAAGAGAAAATAATTGGAGCTGTACAAAAAAACTACAGTAGGCAAGTATAAAATCCTAGACTCTCGACAAAAAAGTATACCTATTATATGTTTATACATAATGAAGTATGAAGGGAGAATTCCTCCAGATAAATGAATAGATCTTTTCTTGCTCTTTTGCTAGCAAATTCGAGTTGATGGATGTTGAAGAAAATAATGCCTTACAGTTCAGCTGTCTGCTAGATAACTTCTTGTGTGTTTGGCAAGTTATCAAAACCAGACAATATTTCTATGTAGTGCCTGCTTATTAGGGTGGAGCCAGTCCATCAGGAGGTATTTTATCTGGCAAAAGGATGTTTACAGATTAAATATCTGATAATCAAGTGTTTTTGTGATACAATGATGTCTGAAACAGACACAAGTACAAAATACAAAATTCTAGACTCTCTTGAGATTGAAGATATATTTATATAAGAGTAAAATTAAATGAAGAATGTAATCAGATATTAAACTAAATCAATTCCAAGGTCTTAATTAAATTTTGTTGATCATAATTATAATAATAATTTGGGGAGTTGGTCAGGACTATAGTATATATATTTATATATACTATTATACCTTAACCACACCCACAACCACCTCCATCTCAAATTATAATCATGTTCAACCATCTTCACACCATTATAATGGTAATTAATTTTACCGATAATTTATTAACTTTAGGGATGTCAGTTTTAAAATTGCACCATGTGATAATATTATAACATCTTACTTTATATTTGAAATATTGCTGGTAGGTAATTCCACGTGCTTATCGAGTGGTTAAATTTTCTTCAACATATTTTTAATTGGGATTTATCACACATATGTACCTTTCATCCAACTTTTATAAGGTGTAAAAACCTTAAATATTGATTAATTTTTAAATATAATGTAGGAAGGAGATGGTCCGGGGTGGCGGTCATAAATAGGCTAAATAGTGGCAAAACTATTTCATTAAAAGCCTACGTTTCAACCCCCCTAAATATTATGTAACTTCCACAATTCTCTATATCTTTTTGAATCTGGTACGTTCTAGCTCTGAAGAAGACCTGCAAAGTTGGGTTGAAACGTTGGCTTTTAATAAAATAATTTAACCTATTTAGGACTGCCATCTCGGACCAACTCCTTCCTTTATAATGCAACGGTCAACTATTCAATATTCAATTAAACATAATATGTTATTTGTGATTTTCACCTTTCATTAGTTTATTCATTTCAAAATTTTTTTTTTGGTTAAAAAAAGAAATTATATATTAAAAATATTCTATTTTCCTCCTACATTAATTATTTTGTAATTAATGTTTTTAAAATAAAATATTATGTTCAAGCATTTTCTTGAACTGGTTCAAATTTTCATCAGTTTTGATTATGAGCTGACATATCAATCAGAATGCCGCAGTGGTAAATATAGTGAAACCATTATTATTTATTTCTTGATTATATGTTATTAATTTTAGGGTGTTAGTTATTAAATTGCATCATGATATGCATGTCAATTGATAATATTTTAACATCTTACTTCATATTAAATACATTTGTAATAATTTTAAGAGTTAATAATGTGGTTAAATTATTTTAAACCATACTGTCTGACGGACGTTTCATGCTAGGATGGTAAGTACTATGAATCTAAAGTATTAGTACCTTTGCATCTTCCTGTTGAAAGAAAAAGTTACTGGTCCTCTATTAAGTTCGGCGATCTTTTTTTAAAATTATATTCAATCACTATCACTATACTTATTGTCCACGAGACAGATTATTACATGCGTAAATAAATAAAAAAAATTATATTAAATAACATTTATGCTCTTAATATATTATTTTAAATAATTATCAGTTTATGATAATTTATTTTAGACCAAAGAATATAAATCTTTCTGGTTTTATAGACTGTCTGTAAATGTTATAGAAAAAGCAACTATCAAATTGACATTATTATTCCAGAATTAATATTATTCAGGTTAAAACTTGTACTCTAGAAAATCCTGCTGCTCGAGGCACTTGAAGCTATTTCATATTTCTATGATTAAACTGTGCACTTATCAAACATTCCTTTTAATTTCATTGTGCGATATGCAGACCTTGTCAGGAAGTCTTGCAAGACTTAATTACTTCATTTTCCACACAATTAGGTGCGATTATAGCAAGAGGCCGAACTCTTTCTGGGAATCAGCCATTAATTTAATAAAGAAAATAGGCAACTACTTACCATCTTCACATGCACATGTTAATTTTAAGTTTAAATTGAGGGATGGTTTAGTGTCCTTTTTTTTCCCGAGAATTTTGTTTCAGTTATAACTTAATGGGTACATGGAAGAACAGTTCTTACAGATTAAAAGGCATAAGATAAGATATCTTAAAAATAAAATTTATATTTTGTAATAAGTTAACATTTTAATACTTTAATCATGATAAAATAATTTATAAATATGTAAACCACAACCTTTCCCTGAATTGAATTTTTGTTCAAATTGAAATTCTTCAATTAATAATAATCAGGAACTGGAGCACAGGCAATTTTCACAAAATCTTCATAATTTACCATTGATCCAGGAGTTACATTAGCTTCTCTGAATATCTGCTCAACTAGAAAAAAGAAAAACCAACAAATTAAGCAATAAGAACCTAATTACAAGCATACTTAACATTACAATAATTACGGTTCACATTAAAATTTATATTAATATATTTTAGGAATGATTCAATAATTATTATTGGATAAGGTTTAGGGAATGAAAAAAGTAAACAAATATAAATGGAATAGTTTCAAAATTTATTGAAAACATAGGAGTTAAGATGCCCACACACACTCAACTTTTACAGTCAACATCTGTGTGCCATAATTTCTGAACAATAAATGAAGTGCCAACACAAGTTTTTTTTTGTGTCTAGCCATCTGGTGTTTTGGAGTGGAAAAACAGCCTGTGTGGACCTCTTAAAATTTCTAATTTTTTATTTTTTTTACCAATACGTATGAAGTTTACTAAAACTAAATACACAGAAAAAAATAGGTTTAATAATTTTTATCGATGCTATATTTTAAAGTTAAGGATGGTCTTTATTAATTATGATTCAAGCCTGATAAACAATTTTGAACACAAATCTTTAATTTATTAAGTTTTCTCACTCCTTCAAACTTTAAGTATTCTGGAACAATTAGAAGTACAAGGGCTTCATTCCTTTTTATATTTCTTGACAAAGACTAGATAAAAAAAATTAAATTAAATACAACAAAGATTAACTAAGATGCAAACATACCTTCTTTGGCACTCAACTGTTCACCCCAATGTAACAACATGTGCTTCAAGTGGGAAGCAGAAACAGTGCCTGTTTTTGCAGTATCTCCAGCTTTAAAACCATCAACGATCTCTCGAGGTAAATCTTCAACTCTGGAATGGCTGTGCATAACCTTCAGGAAATCAGGAAATGACATTTTACCACCTATAATATATAAAATAAATGATAAGTAGGCTATAGGCATAAATATGAGAAAGGGCTAGATGGTTATACCAAACATTAAGGTAAGTTCCTTAACTCAACTTATTCCATTGAGAAAATCAACAATTGATTGAATTCATTAGCAATGTATATTCAGATTCAAGCAGAAGGTTACCGCTACCAGTCCTATTATTTAAAAATCTACATAAATAAACATTAACATTTTTTTTTTAAGTCTACCGAGTATTCACGATTATATTTCCAACCAAATAATTCTAAAAACCAATAATGTGTAAGCAAAATTCCCTTTGAATTGGATTCCATCTTTTGAAACTTTCAGAAAAATAGACCCTCAAGATTGAAACAAGTGGGAAACCGGCTCCCACCTATCCCCTTTCAGATCAGTATACTGTGCCAGGTTCACTCCATTTCAAATCTATGGTCTGGAACATTAAGTTTTATAAATCAATGATTTTTTTTTTTTATGCATAAGTTGTACTATCAGTTAACATAAAAAATGGTAAGAGAGAAAGTACTGTGTGAAATCAGTTTTTATTTGAAAAAAACAAAATTTGTAATGAGATTATATCCATGTATTTAAACTTTTGGCTCTTACTATTTTGCCTTTTAACATTAACCACTTTATTTTTGGTTAAACATTTCTTTTTCACTATAAGACTAAAGTATTGACATCAGCTTTGCTAGATACGCAACAGCACTCTAGCAAATAGCATTAAAGTCATTGTATCTCATGAAACTAAAACAAAAATAAATAAATGAATTAACTATACTCCACAACTCCATGTAGAATCATGAAGTGAGCTATGGATCAACAAATTTACTATATTATTAGGACGAATAAACTCTTATTTTTTCCTTTGTAAAAAATTTAACACAATGGAGTTGAGGTTTCTGTTCCCTAACATTAATATGTAAAAAGTAGTCACACTTATTGCACAATGTTGTGATTTCACAGAGCAAAAATTCATCAATTTATTGACTTGTTCAATTTTCTAAATACTGCTATATACAAGATATCTCTATTCTTAGTGGCCAAACTCTGGGAGGTGATTTTAGACAAAATTTTCATTCGAGGTATGGGCCGATTTTGAAAAGAATAGGAGTTCACGTTTTCCTTTTCATTGAAAGTGAAAACATAAAAATTTAATTCAAGCAAACTAGATGAAATATACTTCCAATACAAGTAGAGCTTGTCTTTATCAAAAGCATTTTAAAGGACACTTTTGAGCAACCAAACTACATCAATTTTTTTTTCATTTAAATGTAAATATTAGGATTAAAAAAAAATAGTACCATTAGTAACAATTTCCACAATAGATATCTTTGTTTATAATATATATTATAAGCAATAGTTCATTATCACCTTAAGTAATACATTTTTGAAAAAAACAGTGTTTTTCCATAATTAATTTACTACATTAGATGTGAAGTCACAAGAGAAAGAAGGAATTAAAAATTTGTGATAATTTCTCGGTTGTTATTTTTGTTGAAAGTAGATACTCTGGAGTGACAGAATATAAAATCACATAATTTTTCACAATAATAGAAGTGAATCTGAACTCAATCTTAAAACAAACCTTACATAAATTGATATAAAATTAAAGTTTATTAAACAAGGAAGCTTTTAGAAAAGTGTAGGATGATAAAAAAAACATTGTGAATAATCCATGATTTAATGAAAAACACTACTTAGCTTAGTTTGGCCATTCAAAAGTCTCCTTTAAGTGGTTTTGACACAGATAAACTCTATTTATATTTAAAAGAAATTTTGTCTAGTTTACTATGAAGCAATTTTTAATTAATTGAATTAAATAATTTTTCTGTTGTCGATTCCCTTGAAAGAGGAAACGAGATCATCTTAAGAAAAGACAAAATTAGACTTAACTCCTTTTCCATTCTAAATCAGCCAATACAACAAATAATTTTTTTTATAGGAAATTTTGTGTAGATTTAGCTTCCATAGTTTGGCGATTAAGAACTGAACTGTTCGAAGAAATCAATTATTATCGTTTATGATATTATTAGAGATTGATAGACATAAGAGGGGAGAGATTGTAGAAGTACTTTGAGGACTATAATTTTTTTATTTCAATTAGTTCCATAGTTAGTGCATATTAAACGTTACTAATTTTTTACAAAACCAAAATCATCAATGCACCAGCAGAAAAAAAAAATTTAGCTCACAAAAAAATAAGAAAATAAACACAGCAAGATCACATATATGATTAATTACTAATTAACTGAAATTACCTTTTTCTTTCAAATAACCTTTCAATTCTGCAATTGTAGGACTCATGCCTAAAGATCTCATTATAACAGTCAATTCATCTAATGTTCGTATGTGACCATTTGGAGCAAATAAGAAAAAACATTCTCTGAATTCTGTAAATTTTAAAAATGGATTTAAAACATAGGAAAATACGGATATACAGACCTATAACTATAACAGTCATCAACTAACCATCAATGTCTTCCTCCCTGAAGTGATGTGCCTATTTAGAATAAAATTATCAGAGATATATATTAGTATAGGAAGATGAATAATGACAGCTGACATTAAGATAAAATTTCGACTAACTTTTAAAAATTTTACAATGTACAAATTTATTATAAATTTACAACTTACCATAGCAGTACCAATTCAACCAGTATGACAAAACAGATTTAACCTGAGAGACGAATCCTTTTAGATAACAATAATTAAGCAACTTTAATAAAAAGTAGGACAATCAAGTTTTAAATATGGATTAACTAAATATATCTAGGCATGAAAACTGCACAAACACCTTTATGACTTTATTATTATTAGTACCTTTATAACTTGTTATTAAATTTATATTTAAATAACAAGTTTTACGAAGAAAAACTTGCTTGTCAAAACCCTTCCAAGTAGTCCTACATAAGTAAATAAATAATCACTGAGGTTACTGAAGGGTTTTCTATTGTGCTGCTATCTCTACAGGTTGTTCCTTACTGATGTAGCAGGAATGAAAAAAAAAAAAAATCATTGGTATTTTCAATTTTTTTGTTATCAATAGTTTTGTTGTATGTGTAGCGAATTTTTAATAAATTTCTCACAAATACTTGGTTGGATAAATTATATTAAATTTAAATAACTTTGTAAATAGTTAGTCAATCTGCTTAAAGTATTTATTAGATTATAATTTTGACCTTTCTTCATTCATTGTTTTAATTCACATGTTGGTCACAGGTCTAGTTTAGAAAAACAAACATACAATTTAATGGCGTTTCCTTTATTTGAAAGTTTCAGGAATACTCAGTCTGCCTCTTCAGCAAATAATTCTTCCCAGTGTTGGGTTAGTCCTCTAATAAGTTTAGTCAATGAACAAACTTTAGATTGTATGCTAAAGAAAGAGAAGGGTCCTCCTAATGTCCAAATAAAGGAAATACTGTAATATAAGAGTGTTTAATTTTTTAAACTAGACCAATGTTCCATCATGAAATTTCAATTGAAGACAATCCATTCATATTTAAATTTAAATTGTTCTATTTAAATATGAATTGTAGCTTTCTTTCAAATGACTGAAGATTAAACTTTTTGAATTTAATCTAAGTATTCAGGTAATTATTTAATCCAAAACTTGTTTATGTAATATTGATTTATTAAGTCCCTTATTAATATTTTCTATATATTTTTCATGTAATATCCTTAACTGGCTTCTTTATCTTCAAGCCAGGCTAGGCCAGTCGAAGTGGGTTCATTATTTATTTCATGGGCCTTTTAAAAAGTATAAGTTAAAGGAGGATTGAACTGCATTTTCTTCTGGCTTGATAATTCTAGATTTTTCTTGATTATTATACTTTCTTAAATTAAATTTTAAAAATTAATATATTTTTGTTCTAATTGAGGAATTTTCAAAAACAGAATTTTGTGTTATCTCTCTTACTATATATTATACACATATACATTTATATGTATATAATTTACATCTTACTGCATAAAATATTGTTTAAAGTGATTATGAACCACGAAAAAATGTCGGAAAAACAAAAATTAAAATGATTGTTTTCTTTTTTTGTGTCATGAGCACAATGGTTTGTTTAAAAAAGACTCGGTCATTGATGAATAAAATCAATGAATCTGGATGAAATAAATAAATAGTTAAAAATTTATTTATTTCATCATTTATTAATTATAAATAGCAGAATTAAATAAAATAAAAATTAAAGGTTCTTTTAAGATAATATAGTAAAAGTGCTATAATTTAGAAAGGAGGTGATGTGTTTTTAAAAATTCAAATACTAATCCAATTTAAGTTTTATTGCCATTAAGAGCTACCAACAGATTTAAAGTCAATCCTATTCTATTTATACTTGGAATGTTGTGAGTACATTCCTCATAAATATTTTTAACGGAAAGAATATATGGAAAATACTGGTATGATGGAAGTTACAGTTTTCTAATAATGTGTGAGTGCATAATAGCAGTGTGACCAATTCTCAAGTGTGTCAGGGAGACTAGCGTCTGCTGCGGTACGATGTAAACCATTGTATATCTTTTTTGGTTCACCATTTATGTGTTTCAACTTAGCAGAAGAATTTTCATTTCACGTGGCCTGCCAGCTATTTGATATCTTCATTTTGAGAGGTCTATGGAGTTCTGGTGGTGAGAAAACAGCGATACCTCAGCCAAGCAGCGTCAGTGCCTCTTTGGCTCTGGGAGTTTGTTACCTACAATACCGATGTGGCTTGTAATTCATTTAAATTAGACATATCTACTCTGGTCTAGGAGTGTTGAGAGATATGATTGGATTCTCACAACAACTGGGTGTTGTGGATACATGTCTTTTATATACTTTAATGCGCCTAAAGAATCTGACTTTAACTCGATAATCTTTTGTGTTATTGACTTGCAGAAATGGAGGGATGAGACAATTGCAAAGAGTTTGAATATTTGTATAGAGCTTGGTTTGTATAATTTCAATTTATGTGTTGAGTTACAGGTTAGTTCAGCTGTTTTAATGTCCTCTTTAAATGGTTTTGACAAAGACAAATTCTATTTGGGTTTGAAGTGAATTTTTTATAGTTTACTATGAATGGATGGGGCATGAATACTCCCTTCTCAAGAAATTTTATTGCTCTTCTCTTCTTAAAAACAGTGCAAGCGGAAATATAACAGCGAAATCTTCAATATAATCTCAATAATTTGAATCCTGCTAATTTGAAATATACTGATAGTTCCTTGAGAAAATTGTGTTTATTCGTAAAAATACAATGAATTTTGGTCCTCTCGATTTGGCCGAATTCGATTTCCATATCCGAGAACAATTAAATGTCTTATAATTCTTTAGTTACTGTTAATAATCTTGTTTATTCGAGAAAACAAAATCACCTTCTCACTCTTCAATTCTCGGAATCATGTTTATTTACATTTTTATCTGTTTGCAGAGGACTATTGAAGAAAAAATAACACAATCAAGTGCATTGAGTATTATGGCTCTATGTTTACATTCATACATTTTATATACAAATTAAAATACGAAATAGGAAAAAAATAAAATAAGAAGAAAACATGTAAGTAAAAATATATATATTAATATAAAAAAAACTTGTAAAAAGAAAAAAATACATTGAAAGAATAGGAAAGAAAGAAAAAACTATATAAATAAATACTTGTCACTCATTCATTCCTATGTACAATAATTACATTCAGCCCAGGGAACCATGCCTTGCCGCTCTCATGTAAAAGGCAAAGCAGGGCTCAAAGAGATCCCAGCGCTTCTCCCCCAGCCGCATGACTGTTTAAATGCCAGTGGAGACTGAGTGAGATTGCTAAAGCTACATAAACTCAGGACTTGATTGGAGAATCCTCTGCCAGATTTCCAAGAGAATATTTACAAAAGATCTCGGGGCCATTGCCATTTCAACCTTTGTGGAAGATTATATGGATGGTTGGAGTTAGAAAGGGATTGTGCTACTAGATTAGGATAATGGGTAAATTTTGGATGGAATTACCTCAAGGATAAAGGAGGTGTTGAGATCATGATGTAAGGTTTTGTTTGTGATGTAGTACAGAGCATTGTTCAGTATCGTTTGAATTGACTTTGGATTGAAAGGGTTGGATAAGTTTGATGTTCGAAAATTTAGGTGTCCCCCACAGTTCAAGTCCATACGTCAAGCTGGGTTTTAGAATGTTCTTATAGACTAATAGTTTGTTTTAAAAAAAAATTGAGAGAGGTGAGATTCTGTTCAGTAGTCTATATAATTGTCCAAATTGTTGGTTAAGCTCTTGTCTTTTGAGTCTGGTATGAGGAGTCCATTCTTGTCTAGATGGAAGCCCAAGTACTGGACAGTGTTTAAGAAAAGAAGAGGTATAGAGTTAAAAAATATTGGTGGACAGGATTCACGTCAGAGTGTGAAGGTAATATGCCAGCAGTGAAGAGAATGTCGAGAATTGGGCCCAAGACGCTGCCTTGAGGAACACCAGCTTCTATTGAATAATAGTTGGAGAGTTCTGTGCCGCAGCATATCTAGAAGGAACAATTGGAAAGGTAAGATAAGGATTAAATATAATTATATAGATTAAATATAAGGATTGCGGTAAATGGATTTTGAATTTGAAAAGCAAGCCATCATACCTGGTATTTTACACCTGGTCAAAAGCTTGCAATATGTCCTGAAAGGCACCAGTGCAATAACATTGCTTGATTTCAAGTACAGAAGATATATGTGTTCAACAACGTGATGGCCTTGTTGAACTGTTGAACCATCCCTAACCAAACTGACGTGAGGGATTTTTTTTGGATTCGAGTAGGGGTAGGATACGTTTGAGAAGGATTTTTCAAATGCTTTTGAAACGATTGGTAGAAGGCTTATTGGTCTATTGGATGAAGTGTCATTGTCAGGTTTGGATGGTTTAAGGAAAATGATGATTATGGAATGTTTCCATATCAGAGGAAAGTGAGTTATAGGAAGTATACAATTGTTTTGGTAAGTAAGGAATATAATAACTTTTTTAGGAAGTTGTTGAAGGATCTGGGAAGTGAGGAGATAGAATCCAAGGGATTTACTGGATTTCAGTTTATTTATAAGGAATTTGACCTCTGAGAGGTTAACATTTAGGAGGTAAGGAAGGAGGAATCGGTGAAGATAGGAATTCCTTAGCTTTGGTTGTGAGAGGAATTGTGTTTAGGATGGATGGATGATTTACACAGGATTGAATATCCTTTATTAATATTCAGTTCAGTGTGAATTTACCATGAGTACAAAGGATATAATTGTCTATCTCTTAGGGACATAAATGAGATTATAAAAGCAGTTGCCGATGGCAAAAAAAAAAAGTTGATGTGGTCGAATGATTTAATATTTCACTGTCTACACAAACGTCATTTGTACAGATTATTGATAATTTTACAGATATCATTACTGGAATAACTAATGAAATGGTTTTTGAGTTTTTTAAGTAAAGGATATAATAAGGTACACATGTGCATATTTTAGTTTATGCTTTTAATTTTATTTTTCCTATTTTCAACTACCAATAATTCATAATCCCGCTCTTTTGAATACCTCCATAATTCATAATGAACCTTTGGTCCCTTGGCATTACAAATTATAGGGATTGTATTTTATTTACATATACACCAGTTAAAACTCTCTGGATAAAATTATTTAAAATGTACATATTTGTAAAACCAGCACACATAAAGAGACCTCAACATTTCTCTAATGCAGTTCCTTTTTGATAGGCTAAAATTAATTATTTTTATTATTGTTAAGTTTTGTATTTTTTTTTTTTTGTTTCAAACAAGTGGTGAGCTTCCCTAAAGATCGGCTGGAGTCCTCAATGGGCACTCCTCCAGTTCAGCGCCCTGGGGCAATTGCCCTGGTTGCCCCACCCTAAGGTCACCACTGGACCCTAATATTGATTTTTGTTTGTCTATAAAAAATGTATTTGAGCCTGTCAACTTATTGTTAACAATCAGCAAATTTGTTGGCGATACAGGAAATAATGACATGACAGGCATGGGGATGTATTTGATCTTATTGATTAAATCCTAAAACTTAGAAAAACATGATGCGTAATTGCGTAATCTTAAATCAGACAGAATTTTTATAAAAAATGCCCCCAAAATAACAATGGACTTATATCGAATAAATCTAAAATATTTTGGTATATATAAAGTTGATAATTTATTGATTTACATTAATATTTTAAATGAAAGTATTTTTAAAAATTATAATCCCATAACACATGAGATTGGACATAAATATTGAAGAAGTATAAAATATTCTACTTCTCTAATTTTTTGAATGAACTATTTGATAACATTGAAAAATACTCAAAGTAAAACCATTCTAAGTAGATGGGGACACATTTAAATTTTTGATATGAAAAATATCAAACCAGAGAACAAAGAGAATACTTGTCTGACCCCAGCAAGTGTAATTGTATGTGATCTACAATTGTTTTATAAATCTTCCATTTACATTGTTGAGTGAGCTGAGTAATATAACATCTTGGGAGTGGGGAAGAAGAGGTTATGTGCCATCAACCATGGGTGAATGGGCATCTCTGCCCATCTCTACTATAAATGGGTAGTCTCTCTTGATGTTATCCATGTCATATTACCAATTCAAACTTACTAGTTGTATTTGTATCTAATACAGTTGTAAATTTCAATAAATGCATTAAAAAAAAACAAAAAAAACTTTCAATAACTGTAATCCCCAACCCACTTCTTTCCAACAATCAATATTCAACATTAAAACAGAATTAATGAAATTAATTATTTAACGTTACAATTTTTTCTTTGATTTGTATTAGTTTTAAGCAGGTGTTGAAACTTTTTATTAAAAAAATTCTTAGCTTAAAAGTATTTAGGGACACTCTTTCATTATAAATTTCTAGGTTTCTGGTAAAAGTTTAACTTTTATTTATTTAAGTTCTTAAAAAATATTTTGTTAAAGTAGAAATAAATATTAATTAGGCTTAGTAGAAAGTTATTTCATTTTAATATTAAAATATAATTTTTAAATTTCTCCTATATTTATATATACTACTTCATTACATACATATTAGAATTTTATTACTATTTAGATCAGGAGTCCCATTTTACCTGTGAGCCCCATTTTATCCTATAACAGCGACCACCTTGGCAGCGAGTGACTGCATTAGTAATAATTAATTAATTGAAAATATAACAGTGTTTCTTTGAAAAAAAAAATCATACTTTTTGATGTAGCAGTTGACAAAATTTTCCACTCAATGTTTTATTTCTTTTTTGCTTATAATTGTTTTTTTTATATAGTTTTTTACAAAACAAAAAGATAACAAAGTTGGGGATTTTTAATTGAACTTAGTTATTTGCTCATATGCCATCTAAATAATTTCCTGGATAGTCAGTTGATTTTCCGATTGTCGACATACAGTTGAAAGGAGCAAATAAATGTTAAAAGGAAAAAAAAACAAGTTTCATCATCATGTACTCCAAATTATGAAGCACTGACCAATGAAATGCAGTGCAAATATCATTATTTGCATTTATAATTCTTATGAAGAAATTTTATGTCTTCATTAATTAACTAATTATTTATTTTATTTAGTAATATAAGAAATTATTTTTTATGTTATTATTGTTATGTTAAAATTATTTTTTATAACATTTATTGTTTTAACTATAACTAATTATGGATTTATCTGAAGGATATATGTGTTACCTCTTTTTACAAGCTTTTCGTTTCTCTTGTAAGAGGTATTTAATTGGCTCTTGGATGGCACCATTTTTCATATTTCTCACACCCTGTAGTAGAAAAAGTTATAGGGTTCTTAAATTAATATATTTCTGTAGTTAATCATTACTCCTTGTCGTATCATATGATTTTAACCAACTTACTTTTTAAAAAGTATCTAGTAGATTTAATTTATTTAACTTACTCTGAGCAGGCTGCAACTTCTTGGAAATTACTACAGTATCATTTTTATATTATAGATAAGTAGTAATATAGTACTTACTGAAATAAGCATGTTTACTTATGTAAGAATTTTCATTTATCCAAACTCCATATTTTATTTCTTATTTATTTCAATTATAATCCTTTCATCAATAAACATTATTTGCATGAATTTATTGTTCTTAGTTTTGAATATTTTTTGAAAATATTTTAAAATTAGTTTTTATCATGTTTGAAAAAATATAAGAAAATATTTATCTTGTTGACATCTGATTACTCATTCTAAAATTAATTTCATTTATATAATTGTCAAGTCCATTTAACCTGATACAATCATATTTTAATATCCCAACTTAGGAATACAGGTAGCAATCATTGCTGGATGAAGGTTTTTAAATGTGACTAGTGGTGACTAATGGTATCAAGTAAAGGAATAATTTCATAGTATCATTATGATTTGCTTTCACAATTCATTTCTAAAAATAATTTTGTATAAAAATGTTTTATAAATATTTTATTTTTATTTCTCATTTTTATCAATGAAATTAAGTGTCATTTTATTTTGGAATTTTTGAAGTTCTTTTTACTGAAGATTAGAAATATAAATTAAAATTGTTTTCATTTAGAGAGTAGAATATAATATGGAAACTAAACTTTTTGAAATGTCAGTCTTGCACTTCTTAATATTCAAAGAACTAATGTATTAATTATTTCAATTCCTTATATAAGGAATTAGTTGTCATTTGTTATAACTTTTTCTTATATAGCAGGGGATGTTCCAACAGTTTTCCAATATTTCTTGTATTAATGCCAACTCGAAAATCGAATTCACAACTCAGGTGGTGAAAACAAATAAAGGTTATATTCATAATTTAATGATATGTTACTTTTTTTGTTTCTATTAAGAACGAACAACTTACAAATGTTTTGCACACAACATTCATATTATAATTAGTTATTTTAACAGTGTTAAACTTTTATTATTTTTAAACCATTACAGTAACAATTTATTTTCACACTACGGATTTATAAGATCAAAATTCTAAAATGGAGAAATGGTTGCTACTAATATAAAATTACCAGAAGAAGCACACTAAATTAAATAAAAATAAACAAATAAAAACCACTCTGGTCACTTTAAAGCTGAACTGTCTTTTGCTTTAAGGACATAAATGAATACACAGGCCATTAATACTGATAATTTACAGTGGTATAGACCTCTCAGATTAAAAAGAATGTGGCAAAAATATACATTAATGGGCTAGAACATATTTTATATATAATTTTTTATACAGTTATAAATATATATGTATATATTTATATTTATTTGCATCTCAAACACTATAAGGATGGGAACAAAGAAACTTTTTATGGTTTCGAAAAGTTTCTACAATTATAAGGGTTATCACGTTTTGTTTGTTTTTATTTTACATTTCTTCTCTGAGGTTTCAAGTCTAAAGGAAATCTTGTTGGCTTTGGGGTTCTTGGAAGGAGTCATCCACGAATCTTTTAGCCCTTGTCTCCATCATGTCTTCTACATCTGCAAAACATAAAAATATTGTTATTATAAATATTGATATAACAAAGGGTTCATTTTTTTATCACTATGATCGAAAAACACAAAAAAATTATCTATTAATCTTACTATCTAGAAATCTTAACTTGGTGAAGCCATATCATTTCTGAATGATTTTTTATACATTATATTTGATTTAAGCACATCATGTTTTTCAAAATTTGATTGAATTACAATTGTTATTAAATACGATACAATATTTGTGTATTACATATAAGGGTCCATAATACACAAATATCCACGAACAAACATTGTATTTTATAGAAAAGATTGAGTAAATTCTAAAAAACATTGTTGTTCATGGATATTACCTTGCCTTGCTTCTGAGTCCCTGAGATATTGGAGAAGAGAATCAATGTCATCAATGCTTTCCTTCTTTCCCCTCATCCCAAGGAAGCCAGAAGGTCCCTTCTTGCCTCTCATACCAAAGAATCCTGAGCTTGGGCCTTTCTTCCCTCTCATTCCGAAGAAGCCAGCTGCAGGGGCTTTCTTTCCTCTCATACCGAAGAAACCAGAAGAGGGAGCTCTCTTCTCTTCATCCCATAAGTCTTGGTCTTCATCTTTCTTTCCTCGCATCCCCATGAATCCCATAGATGGCGCTTTCTTACCACGCACTCCCTGATAATCAATAATAATTAATATTTATTAAACAGACAGAATCTGTAATTTATATTTTACAATAATGCAATTTTAATGTTAATAAGCTACAAGTAAGAGAGACTATTATGAACTTCTCATTATTAAACACAACATACAAGCAATTGAATGCACCAAAAATAATTTCTCAAAAATCCTTTATAATATAAACATTTCTGTACTTCAGAGGTACAGACATCATGTCTATTTTTGTATCTGTTCAGAGGAGCCACTGTTTCATAACTTCAAGCTATTAGTTTGTTGATCTTTTTTGGTCCATAAGCAGTGTTTCCCTGCCATGGTTTATTTGACGATTTTGCCCATATAATTGCCCTTCGATAAGCAGAGCTATCCTGAGCTAAATTGATAGGTAACTTGATGCACATGTTGTTGGTGCCTTAATACTGATATTTGTAAGGGAGTGAGAATTAGTAGTGCCGCTGAGGTGGTAACCCACCTTGGCGCAAAGATTAGATGGAAGAGATTTTGGATTGCTTAGAAGGAACTATAATATAACGCCTCAATTGGACTACTTGAGCAGCAGGCTAACAGTCTTTCTAAAGTGGCTCAGTTGTATTGGTGGAGTTCTTCGAACCTCGCTCACCAAAAGAAGAACAAGTTTGCATCAATTAAAAGTACGTTTTTTTTTTTTTTTTTTTTGTTCCCTACCTCGCCTTTTAGGCTATACGGGATTTTCCTGGACCGGAGGGTGAGGGCGGGGTATTTAAAATCCCCTCCGGCACCGGGATGCGAACTCATACTTTTATAATCTTCTCAAATCTCTTATCCGGTTTCCAGGCAACTCGCGGTGCAGTGCACACGCTTTAGCCCATTCGGCCACCCCGCCCCCAAAAGTACGGCTTTGTTGAATGTCACCAAATCATAAGATAAGGATAGAGTCTGATGAGGCAGTGCAGATCTTAGCAGGGGAGATACATCTTGATCTCCTCCTTCAACAAGAAAATTTGATCAAATATGCCAACAATAGTGAAAGCTCGGTAGGGATTTGGAGGACCTTGAGAGAGAGTGAGGATTAACAAACAACCTAATGCATGGAAGAAAATATCAAGAGAAACTATTGTTCAGAAAAGGAACAGGTAGCGGGTCCAATACCACTGAAGAAAGTATTTTTCCACCCTCCAGCTTCAACTGGCTGCCAAATGGGCCCAAGCTGACTATTGAGTATTTTAATTCCTACCCGAACATGGGGATTTTCTACCAAAATGCACAGTCTAGAAAAATAATATCGATACAGTACGCTCTAGTTGTGCCGTCTCTGAAACTACGGAACATCTGTATGTTAGCAATATAGCTCAAAAACGAAAAGTCGTACGAAACTGATATTACGTATTTAAGATAGGTATATGCCTTAGATGTGACCGCAACTTTCCCCTTAAAATCTGCTAACCGCAAGTTTATATCAACGGTGAAACACATTTTTACAATTTTCTCAAAAATGGCTCTAACGATTTTGATTAAACTCGGTGTATCATTGTATAATTAAGTGGTCTTTAATATCATTTAGGTGGTTATTATGAGTTCCGAAAAAAAATGCAGAATATAACTTTTGAAAGAATTTGATAATTTAATAAAGGAGAAAAAAAAATCAAAATGCTTATCCAGGTAGAGATTGAATTTTCGGAAATACTAGTCAGAAGGTATACGTATAATATATCGTTGGAAAGCGGAGAATTTTAGAAAAAAACAATATCTAATATAGAAAGGTGTAGAAGGTAACGGAGAGTGGCAAAAAAATTACCAATAATAACTTTTGAAAACTAATAATATTTAACGTAAATCACATGTTTTCAAGGAAATTAAATGAAATTTACTAACTAAATGTAAACTTTTAAAATATTTTTAAGTTTCAAAAAAGTATTTAAAATCCACTTAATCAAGGCAATGACATTGTTTAAAAAACTATTTCATTGTACTTGTGTGAAAGAAGAAGTAAAATATAAAATCATTTCATGGAAGTATTAAGCATATGTTTATAACCTTAAATACATTTTCTGTAGTTTAATAATTTTAGATCTGATATAATATTTAAATTGTTAGGAATCTATCGTCCGTTTATTCCGAAAAAATCATTATGTAACCTTTTAGAAAATGTAATTAGTGAATAATTTGATGAATTTTTCCTTTGCGATATTCCAACAGTATCCACTTCCAATTAGTGTGACAACTTTTGATCTGTCTGTGACACACAATGCAAATCTCTTAGTTCCTTTTTAGTAAACTTTGCAATGGAAAATAACAAACTAATAGCCGTACAATCCATAATCAGCGGATGGTATAATCCATACTCAACGGATCGTACAATCCATAATCAACCGGTGATATAATAAATAGGAGTTTTGTTATTTTAATGGTATTTATGATTCGTTAGCTGTAATCCTATAGCTTTAGCTCAGTTAACATTCCAATTAAAAATCTTTATAATAGTCCAACATGACCAGAAAATAATTTCTATTCAAATTTGGGGTCGATTGAACTAAGCCCACAATGTTTTCCGAGTTCTTTTAATGGCTCTAAGCATTGCCTCTTTGAACGCCATTAAAATATATTTTTTAATAAAAAGTGAATTTTTTAAATATATTTATTATAATACTTTCCAGATCATATTAAAAAAATAAAAACAAAGCTTTAAAATAATTTATTTTAGTCATTTTTGCTGAAAACAGAGATAATTTTGGATTACAGAGTATCAACAACTGGAGGCGAATCTCAACGTTTTACTGCAAGATTAAATTTAATTAAATTTTACTACAAGATTAAGATAACTTTTACCTGGAAGCCCATGAGAGGGGCTCGCTTAAATTCCTCAATGCTATTTTCATCATCAGGGAAGATATCCTTTTTTCCTCTCATCCCCATGAAGCCCATTGAAGGAGCCCTACGCACTTCTTGGGCTGAAGCAACATCGGCCAGCACGGTCACAGCCACTGCCGCCCAAACAATAGCTGTTATCCTGCAACAAAAATCACAATGATTAATGATAATACCGATAGATATATTAAGTAAGTTTAAGAAACAATTGGACAATATTTTAAATAGAGAAATGATGATCTGTATCTTCTCTTTGAGCACTAGCGGATCCAGGATTTAATTTTTTTGGGGGAGAGAGGGGCTTTATCCCGAAGGTTCCCCCGTAGATCCGCCCGTGTCTCTGAGCACCAGAGTGCTGAACAGTTATTAAAAAAAAAAATGAACGGGTCAAGAAGAAGATGCAATAGTTATCTAAAAATTAAAATAATATTAAGCAGCGGGAACCGATAATATAACCAGTGCACTAATTATGCATGCGGGAAAGCAGGAGTTTACTCAAATACATTTGTTGGTTCAAAAGATCTGGGTGAGTGAGAAATTGCCTGACGAATTGAGATAATCTATTTTAATTCCTACTGACAAAAAGAGCCCGAGGACGGATTCTTGTAAGAATCGAGGAACCTCACATCTTCCGGTATGTTATAAAACATCCACATTAATCCTTACTAGTCGAATTAACGCCGAGAAAATATCGCAGAATACCAGTGCGGATTTAGACGGAAGCGTTTAACTATAGGTCAAGTATTTTTTATAAAAAAATCTGGTGTGTCTACTCACACGACCTTCCTATCTATTTCAGAAAAGTTTTTATATCTTTAAATGTGTCCATTAAGAAACAAAAAAAAAAAGAATTGAATTAGATCTATTATTTAAGGAGCTTTAGAACAAAAGCTATATGCAACTGGAGTATTTTTTTTATGTTGCTCAGGCGTTTGATAGAGTCTGGCACCAGGGTCTTCTCTTTAAACTTAAGACTATACTGTCATGCACGTACTATCTTATCTTTCAATTTGTTCTCTTCGACAGATTTTTCTGAGTTCCGCAGGACTCGGAAATGTCTTAAAGTTGTCCAATATTGGCAACAGTTCCTCATGGTTCAATACTTGGCCATCTACTTTACATTGTATTCACTTACGATATACCTATTAACGATGAAACATTGACAGCTACCTATGCAGATGACACAGCACTTCTTACAAAACACCAAACCCTACCTTCACAAACCTCACTAACTCTACAATATCACTTACTTAAATTACAAGATTGGTTCAAACTATGGAAAATTCGACTTCATCAGCACAAATCTCATTATATAACATTTACTCTTCGGAAAAACACTTGTCCTCCAGTTTATATTGACAACAATCAAATTCCTCAAACGGACACTGTACTTCATCTTAGACTCACCTTTGACAGAAGGATGAAATGGGGCCCACATGTAAAAATGAAACGTAAGACACTTCACAAACGACGAAAAAAACACAATAAGATGAAAAATTAATAATCCCCACATATATAATTACGGTAAGGCTCGAAATCGGTTTTGTAACAAATATAAGCTCCTGCCATGCTCAAATACCAAGAATGGAGTACCGTTGGATTCAAAATTTCAAGGGGGGTTAGCGAATCGTATTCTCCACTTTTGTTTTTCTTTCTAAAATAAATAAAGTCGATACAAACATTTGTCTAGAGTTCAATACTGGAACGGTGGTAGGTCTGTAGATCGATATGGGACAAATTGGACCTTGAAGATTTTGATGCGTACAACAAGACCCGGTACTTGCGTTTTTAAGCCTAAAAAACGTACTATTTTCGAGATAACGCAAGGCATAGGGTTCGCATCCACGCAACCTTACATTAATTGTAGTACTGTAATTGAATACATGTCTCATTTCGTCGACTTGAGGCCTCTCGGATCGAGAGAGGAGAAGTTTATATTATTTATCGATGGTGTTTTTGATCGGCAAGCGATATCATCGTTAATTCTTCACCAAATCCCAAGATTGAGCCACCAATTTCGAAGGCTTCATTCTCTTTCAGGCAGGCAAAATAGTCCAATCACCCCAAAAATTCAGGCTAACAAGTTATGAAAGAAAACAAACTGAAAAATTACACACTTTTTTCCATTGGGTTATGCTCATGATTATATTAAAGATGACTAAATACCCTACAAAAGGAGAGAAAAAAATCATCGAAATCGGACAATTTTTAGCAAAGATACTGCTTATTGAAATTTGTAAACATGTTGGTTCCAAACATTAATGTAGATTTAAATTAATTTTTGTTTCCTTTGTCGATTATATTTATCGATAAAGTAACAATTTATTTCTTTATCTTTTGATAAGTTGCATTATTTCCTCTTCTTATTAATTTGGCATCGGATAACAATATGATGCGCGAATTTTTCGCATGGGTCTGCTAGTATTAAGCAATGCCATAACCATAAGAAGAAAAACCATCTTAATCTTCAATATAGGGCAGTAGTCTTTGAACAGGAATTACGAGTACAAGGTCGAACGGAACAAAGTGAGTGGATTGTTTTAGGTCCAATCTCGAGGATTTGAGTTTTGAAAGAATTCAGAGGATGGAGGTTTGCAGATACATCGGACTCATGTAGGATTCGTAAATCCTTTTGATTGTTTATTGAATCAAGAATAAATTTTTAAAAATAATTTTTTCACACCATATAATTCCCTACATTGAGCAATATGAAATCTGGTCACTTAACTTCCGAAAGAGCATTGACGCCGATTAGGGGCAACGGTCAGCCTCGAGTAATTCCCCTTCCCACTTTATTTCTTCCCCCTTTTCTCGTGACTGCGGCCATAGCTCCTCATTCAACTGGGTACTCCCTTTTCCTTAAGAGACAGAGTAAACCCGCTATAAGCTAGAGCCTTTCATAAAAATTCCTTAGGATGGAAAGAAAGAGCTTCGAGTAAAACAGTTAGATATAACCAACTTCAGAAAATCCCACAACTATTTATATTCTAATTGGTAGTAGACAGATGTTTATTTTAAAAAAAATGATAATGTAAAATTGTAAAAATTGATTGGGGAATTAATAGTCAACCTTTCTTCAAAGCAAAGTACTACATTTTAGTGTCTGGAGCGAAGAGCAATTACTATTAAAATTATTTCGTTTGGTACCAAGGTGAAATTGTATACAGTGCTCTTAATACAATGTATTATTTTCTCATTGTCAAGTATTAATTTAAATAAACGGACAATACTGAGTGATTGTTGTTTACAATTCAATTTCTCTTGGATTAATAATTTAGGTTTCTGTAAGTAATTAAAATTATTGAATTGTTTGTTGAGATATTTTAATCCATATCTTCAATAAAACCCGCTATCATTTGGTTTTCGACACTATTTTCCCCCTTTTGCCTATGTAACACGGTGTCGTGTTAAGATTCAATTTTGAATAATAGCTCATTATAAAGAGGATGAACTGCTAAACATTTGCCTCGCTTACAGTATGCAGATCCGATTTTTAGTTTTTGAGATATCTTAATGCATATTCAAAAACACTGTAATTAGTCTACTCGAGCCAACTTTACCTGAATAAGCGTTGTACATCCGAGCTTGAAGGCTCAGTTTCATCCACTTCCCACAAAAAAACTTTGAAACCTGCCTAAAGAAGTTTAAAAAATCGAAAAAAGGACTAAAAACATATCGGGCTGTTAAGTCTATACGACCTTGTTATTTTGATAATATGAAGGTCACGCCAAATGGCCCAATACTTTTGTAGGCCAACACTATTCCAGTCCATTTTCATGAATAGAACAGAAAAAACATCCTTTTTTTCAATTTAATATGTTTTGTTCTATTTTATAGGAAATAGTAAAAAATTAAATGTTCTTTATACAAGTCGAAAAAAATGTCATTATTCAAATAAATGATTCTTGAAAGCCGATAAAAAAAATTGAGGAACGCATGTTGTAGTTATTGAATTTAGCTTGTATTTATTTAGATAATATTCCGAATGATAATTCAAGAGAATATCTGGGAATGGAAATCATATCTCAGAATCCAGTTTCCGGTTCAAACTACATTTGGGGGAACTTATACATTCGGATTTGTACTATCTATTATTAATGATTCCGAAAAGTAAAAAACTTTTATTGCTTGAATGGAAATCAATTTTGTTAAAATGATAATCACTATAGCTCACGGGGTGATCTGATGTTTAGATCTAACAGGCAAAGAGCACTCCCATAAGAGATACAACCGACAATTGTCCAGATCAAATCCCATCCTGACGATGGTGGAAATCCATCAAAGCTCCCGCTAATCTCCCACCTCGCTGTGTGATATGGAATCGATATCAGCTTAATTCGATAGCGAATAACGACCAGTGATGGTATGGGCCAAACGACCCTGATTCTACAACGATTCATTTTAAGTATAGAGTTTACCTTTCGTTGTGGTAACATCGTCGTAAAGTATCTTAGATTGATATGTACCTATATGTATTGGGTTGGCAAATAAGTCCTTCCGGTTTTTCTGTTTATTTTTATGTCACTATGATATACTTCTTATCTGATGAATTAATCCCTAAGGTGGATTGTTTATTCTATTTGCAATATGTCAACAACTATATCTGTTAACTCTTGTTGAAACTAGCTTAGTATTGTGTTTGTTATTGCACTGTGAATATGGAATATTATCGGCATATTTTGTTGTTTTATTTTAAAAAAGGTAAGCGTACTGCAAAAGCTCATAGACAAATTTGCAGTGTTTATGGGGATGATGCCTTAACCGACGCTTCTGTCAAAATTGGTTTGCCAAATTTCATCCAGTAAATTTTGACATCAATGATACTCAACGGTCTGGTCGCCCTTATCAAATTGAAACGAGCAATGTTAACGTCCTTGTTGCAATGAGAAACGTCATTGTTTTTTTCGAAAATCACAATAAATGTTATAAATTCAATACTACTTTAGCTATCTACAAGAAATATTGCAAAATTTAGGGTCACATAAACTACACAAAATGACATCAACAGGACCTTCGTAAACAAACTACAAATGGAGATAAAAAATAAAAAACTATAAGAAATATTTGTTTTTTTTTTTCCTTTTGCAGGCATCAATCAAAAAACCATTTATACGGTTTTGAAGAGAAATAATTCAGGTTTCCAA